AGAGGGGATATAGGAGGCCTTAAGGACAGCAGTGGGGTATACTCCATGGCATGATCGGGGAGGAAGGAAGATGCACCTCACCTTGATAGATGCCAAATGCTGAAGGCCATATCCGGCCCCTTCCAGCTGTAGACTCCAGATAAGGTAACAGGGAATGATGAGGTGGGGAAGCAGTACTAAGGTGTACATCACCTGCATTAAGAGGAGCCGAGGGGAACAGCAGGTGGCATGATGGTCAAGGCACTGGACAGGTCCACATGGCTGACCAGGGTTCAAGTCCTGAATGTGGTGGCTTGCTTTCTCACTTCCACTCTCTCTCACTCTCAACCTCTGAAAAAAAAAAGAAACAGATATTCATAAATATATAAATAATAAATAAAATAGAATGAGTAGTTATTGAAAAAAAAAAAAAACGGAGCCAGGTCCGCAACCACACGCCAGCAGTAGTCAACACCGTCAGTAGGGATCAAAAGTTCTGAGTCGGGGGACCAGCAGTTAGCGTAATGGCTATGTCTCTGGACTCCCACATAGTCGGCCGTGGTTCAAGTCCCGGACCCAGTGGCTTAGACTCACGCCAGGCGCATGTGCGTGCGTGCCCAAGATTCTGAGAGGAGAATGGAGGAGAAGGGATTGCAGCGTGGCCATCCCCCCTGGGGGGGGGGTTTCTCACTTTCTGTCTTTCTGTCTGTCTGGTGAGCACATGAGTCCTATAGCCTCTCCAAAAAAAAAAAAAAAAAAAGTTCATGTTGGTGGCTGGCTGGTGGTGTGGATATTAAGGCACTGGGCTCCCACATGGCCCACCGCTGTTTGAGTCTCAGACCTGGTAGTTTGTGAATCTCCTTTTCTTTTTCTTATTTGCTTCCTCTGAGAGGGAGAGAAAGGCACTCGAACAGGACCCTCTTACTGAGATCCCCATGTTCACTTCGTGAATACAAGCTTGCCTGGCACACTCAGCGAGACCCCAGGGCGTGAACCCAGGGCCTTTCTCAAGTAGGTCCAGTGGCATTGCCACTGTACTGCTGCCTGGCCCTGGCGGTTTGTGAATCACACTATGTATGTGTGTGTGTGCGCCCAAAATCCTGAGAGGAGAAAGGATTGTGGCATGACCCTTCTCCTGGGGGTGAGGTGGGGTGGTTTCTCACTTTCCCTCTCTCTGCCTCTCTCCCACAAGAACACAAGCCATATGGCAAAAACCTAAACAAATAAGTTCTGAATCAGAAATCAGTAGGAATTTGAAGACAGCTTTTGAATTTCAAAGGCTGAGTCAGGGGCTCATGGGACTAAATGGCCAGAGGGAGTGAGAAGTTAGAACACCAAGCGACCAAGCGAGGTGAGGCTGAAGGGCTGAGAGTGGCAAGGTATCCAAAAGCGGTGGCTCACCTTCCCAATGGACTTGAGCCCGCTGATCATGCACGCACCAATGAGACACCAAGACACAAAGAAGGGCAGACTCAGGCTGAGAACTGGTGGCCCACCATCATCAATTGTATCTGAGGCCTTCAGGGTCAACCGGTACCAGAAGAATGTGAAGGGTGTCGTCCGCGCACATTCAGGGTCTGGGGGGACCTGGTTTTGGAATGCCTGCGAAACAAGGTAACCCCTCCCCTCTCCTTTATTTCCTCCCCCACCTCCTCCTTCCCTCTCCCATTTCTTTGTTCGTCTGTCTTCTCTTCCTTGTCCCTCCTCACTCCTTCATCCTCTTCCAAATTCCCTTCTACTTCTGTTTTCCCCTTCTCCTCTTTTACTTTTTACTCACCAAAGTCACTGGAGTTCTTCAGTAAAGGACATTTCTCCCACGGAACAGGAAACTGGAAGGACTGGCTCATGTAGAAGAGAACCCAGGCATTGACCACATTCAAGTACGTACCGGTGATGAAGTTCACCTGGGGGCCAGGGAGGAGGCAGCTGGGAGGAACAGCAGGGACGAGGAAAAGGAGGAGATTCGACAGTGGTTTGGAAAGCTGAAGGGACTTGACCCAGGGAAGCAAAGTTACGAGGGTTGGGGTGGGAGTGGGGTGTAAAAGGCAGGCCTGGGAAGTCTGGGTCTCCTCACCATGACACTGGTATACCCCACACCACCAATCCAGGGACTGAACATCTTCCACAGGCCTATGCTGCTCTGGCGCATCCTCTGACCAGCTGCCATCTCCAGGAAGAGGAGAGGAATCCCGATCAAGAACAGCATGAGGATGTAGATGATGACAAAACTGCCTGGAAAGAGGATTCAGGAGAGGCTCTGAGAGTGGTTTGGACTTTCAGTGTCTGGACTCTTTTAGGAGTCCAGGCACACACACCTTGTGTGTGTGGCCTCCAGGCATCAGAGTGGGCCAGTTTCACACTTCTCTCTCCCAAGTCTCCAGGTTGCTGGCTCCCAACTCCAAGAAGACCCATATGACTAGTTTCTATGCCTACCGCAACCCAGCCCTCTCGCCCTATCATCCTCATGTCCCACATTCTGCCCCCGGCCCCTCTCGTGACCTAGGTACTCAGGTGTCTGACTCTTAGCCTGCTCAGAGGGCCAAGTCTCCAGCCTCCACATGTCTCAGAGCATTGGTTTAAAGCGTCAGGAGGCCTCAGTCCAGCTAGCTCCTTGTGGATCCACGTTTCTGGGTCCTCAGACTTACAACCTCCATTGTGAAGCCACAGGTGGGCAAAGCGCCAGAGATGGGATGGCCTCACACAGTAGCCAATCTGGGCCAGGATATACTCAAACTTGCTGGGCCAGACTGAACGGGAAAAGAAGATCTCACTCTTTTCCTCTTCTATGTGGGCCAATCCTTCCAGTTTGACCAGCACCTCCTCGTCTGAGGGTTTCGGTTTCAGGACAGAGGGAGCTGTCGCTATTGCCACAGAAGGTTGCTTGAGTTGGTTGGCCCTGACCTGAACCTCAACAGCCTGGGTCTCCCAGGCCTGAGCCTTTGTAGCCCGAGTGGCTAGAGTCTGGGTGTCCAAAGTCCAGGCAGTCAGCGACCATGTCATTGGGCTTTTGTCATGCCACATTTGGCTTCCTTGGGCACTTTCAGAAAACTTTGTCTCGGTAGAGATTTTTGTAACCAAGGATGCTGAAGTCTGGCTCTCTGTCTTCATCTCAGGCAGATTCTCTGGAGCAGCTCCAGTTTCTGCAAGTGAGGGTTCATCCTCCTGAACAGACCTTAAGGACACCAAAAACCAGATTTTAGAGTAAAAGAATGACTGAGTTCTCCCCAGATCCTCAACATCTCCTTAAAGCAAAACTTCCTTGCTCTCCCTATTACCACTGATGTCAAAAACACATACACAAAATCTCTGACATACGCTTTATTTCTCAGAAATATTTTGATGTTGGGGTCGACAGGTGGCAAGTTGGTTAAGACACTGGACTCCCACATGGTCAACGGCAATTTGAGTCCTGGACCTGGTGACTTGCTTTCTCACTTTTTCCTTTCTGTCTCTCTTTGTTCAAATTAAAAATAATAACAATAATAATAAATAAAATAAATAATTATTTTAAAAAATAAATATTTTGATGCAAAGCATGGGGTAGAGATGGTAAAAGCCAACAAGCAGGAATCCCTCTCAGAGGATTTCTGAGAATATTGAGGTATTCCCCCAACAGAGCAAAGTACCATTTATAATGAGCTTTAAATAAAAACAAAACAAAAACAAAAACAGGCATCTGCTCAAATTGTCTCACCAGAGATACCTTCCATGCCCACCCATCTAAATTAGCAGAAGGCTGGCTCTCTGGCCTGGTGGTTAAGGTAAGTGGATCCCACGTGACCAACCAAGGTTTGAATGCCAGACTTAAGCAGCTCGAAAAACATGATGAGTGGGGCCAGCAGGTGACATGTGGTTAAAGCACCGCATTTCCACATGGCCCACCACGGTCTGAGTCTTGGACCTGGCGGACCTTTCTCAATTTCTCTCTCTCTCTCTCTCTCTGGTGAGCGAACATAGCCTATAGCAAATTTTAAAATAATAATAATAAATAAAATAAATAATCCATTAAAAAAAGAAAAAGGAAAACATGATGGGTGCGTGTGTGCCCAGAATCCCAATGGCATAGAGAGATGGAGAAGACTGTGGTATGACCAAACCCGATTGGGGGTGTTTTCTTCCCCTTCCTCTCAGTCTTTTCCTGAAAAGCACACACACCTTCTGACAAATCTGAAAATTAAAATAAAATAGCACATACCTACCCATTACTCCATCCTACCCACTTTTATTTTTCTTCATAGCATGTCTCATCTCCTGTTCTTAGTCTATTAATTGTCCATCTCTGCCTACTACTCCATCCCTGGCAAGAGAATGGTGCTCTACCTCATATGCTTTCTCACTTTTTCCTTTCTGTCTCTCTTTGTTCAAATTAAAAATAATAACAATAATAATAAATAAAATAAATAATTATTTTAAAAAATAAATATTTTGATGCAAAGCATGGGGTAGAGATGGTAAAAGCCAACAAGCAGGAATCCCTCTCAGAGGATTTCTGAGAATATTGAGGTATTCCCCCAACAGAGCAAAGTACCATTTATAATGAGCTTTAAATAAAAACAAAACAAAAACAAAAACAGGCATCTGCTCAAATTGTCTCACCAGAGATACCTTCCATGCCCACCCATCTAAATTAGCAGAAGGCTGGCTCTCTGGCCTGGTGGTTAAGGTAAGTGGATCCCACGTGACCAACCAAGGTTTGAATGCCAGCCTTAAGCAGCTCGAAAAACATGATGAGTGGGGCCAGCAGGTGACATGTGGTTAAAGCACCGCATTTCCACATGGCCCACCACGGTCTGAGTCTTGGACCTGGCGGACCTTTCTCAATTTCTCTCTCTCTCTCTCTCTCTGGTGAGCGAACATAGCCTATAGCAAATTTTAAAATAATAATAATAAATAAAATAAATAATCCATTAAAAAAAGAAAAAGGAAAACATGATGGGTGCGTGTGTGCCCAGAATCCCAATGGCATAGAGAGATGGAGAAGACTGTGGTATGACCAAACCCGATTGGGGGTGTTTTCTTCCCCTTCCTCTCAGTCTTTTCCTGAAAAGCACACACACCTTCTGACAAATCTGAAAATTAAAATAAAATAGCACATACCTACCCATTACTCCATCCTACCCACTTTTATTTTTCTTCATAGCATGTCTCATCTCCTGTTCTTAGTCTATTAATTGTCCATCTCTGCCTACTACTCCATCCCTGGCAAGAGAATGGTGCTCTACCTCATATCTGGGGCCACTGTCCTCTCTGTTCTCTGTGCTTCTGCAACTCTGATCTTCTGTTGGACTCCAAATGCTCTAAAAGAAAACAGGCAAGGTGTGTGCTACGAGAGAAAAGGAGAAAAGCAGGATGTGAAAGAAAGAGCAAGAGGGAATTGTTTTTAGAGAGGGAAGGAGCAGAGGTAGAAGGTGGGCCCCAGGCAGCACCAGCATGTCTGGGTCACATGGATAATCAGTTGTGAGACACTCTTCCCAAAGTGCTCTTGGTAGTTCAGAAAAATGCTCATAATTCATAATAGGTTAAAAAAAGCGAGCAAGTGGGACCAGCAGGCAGTATGGTAGCTAAGGTGGCTGGACTTCCACATGGCTGACTACAGTTCGAGTCCCAGACTTGGCAGCTTGCTTTCTCACTTTCCTTCTTTCTCTGTATCTCTCTCTGGTCAACTTGAAAAAATAAATAATGACAATGAACAAAATGAAATAAAATAATTATGTAAAAAACAAACAAACAGCCGGTGGCATGGTGGTTAAGGTGCTGGACTCCCAAATTGTTAACCATGGTTTTGAGTTCTGGACCTGGTTGCTTGTTTTCTGACTTTCTCTCTCTCTCTGGTGGGCGCACATGTGAATGAAAAGATAACAGTAATAAATAAAAATGAAAAAAAAGAAACACTGAGATGCATCTCTATCTTTAGTTCTAGCTCTACTACATTCAACAATACAATGAGACCCAGTTGTGGCAGCGTAGGTTGTAGGGCAATGCTGCAATACCAGAGTCATATGGAAGGTTATGTATTTGAATCCTAGCTAGACCTGAACAGGTCATGCCCAGGTGTGCCCAAGAAAGGGTGGTGGGGGGAAATCGGTCACAGTATAGTGAGACCCTGTCAAGAGTATCACCCTCTCTCCAAAAGAAACAATTTTTTTGGGAGAGGTTTTTTTTGTTTTGTTTTGTTTTGGTTTGGTTTGGTTTTTTTTTTTTTTTTTGCTATAGGGTGCGTGTGCTCACCAGAAAGACAGAGAGAGACAGAAAGACAGAAAGCAAGAAATCACCCCCCAGGGGGGATGGCCACGCTGAAATCCTTTCTCCTCCATTCTCCTCTTGGGATCTGGACATGCACGCACACGCGCCCGGCATGAGTTTACAGTCGTAAGATCCAGGACTCAAACTGCAACTGGCCATTTGGGAGTCCAGCAACAAAACCTCAATGCCATCTGCTGGCCCTGAAACAATTTTTTTTTAATGCAATGAGAGGGCTAGACAATGCCACAGTGCAAAGTGCTATATTCCATTCACTTTTCTGGATACACATGCTATTTCACAATTTAAAATGTTAAAAATAGGGGTCAGCAGATGATGTGATGTTTATGTTGCTGAACTCCTCACATAGCTGACCACAGTTTGAGTCCTGGACCTGGCAGCTTGAAACTCACATTGGGCACATTTGTGTGTTCCCAAAATCCTGAAAAGAGAATAGAGAAGGGACAGCTACATAGTTATCCCCCTGGGGGATGATTTCTCACTTCCTGTCTCTCTGTCTCTCTTCAGCAAGCATACACATCCTATAGCAAAACTCTAAAATAAATAAATAAATAAGTTAAAAATAAGGCCAGTAGGTGGCATAAAGGTTAAGGCAGCTGGATCCCACATGGTGAACAGAGCTGCTGAGTCCTGGAAAAAAAACACATCAAGCACAAGTGCGTGTGTGCCCAGAATCCCAAGAGAAGAATGGAGAAGGGACTGCTGCATGGCCATCCTCCCTGGGGGGTAATTTCTCACTTTCCCTGTCTCTGTGTTTCTCTCTGGCAAGCAAAAAAAATCTTTTTTCAAAAGAAAACATCCATTGGGACCAGCAGTTAGCATAATGGCTATGTTGCTGGACTCCCACGTAGTCGACCGCAGTTCGTGTCCCAGACCCGGTGGCTTAAAACTCACGCCGGGTGCGTGTGGGTGCGTGCCCAAGATCCCAAGAGGAGAATGGAAGAGAAGGGATTGCGGCGTGGCCATCCCCCCGGGGGGGTGATTTCTCACTTTCTGTCTCTGTGTTTCTGTCTCTCTGGTGCGCACACAAGCCCTATAGCAAAAACCTTTCCCCCCAAAAAAAGCATCCATTGTAACTTCTTTCATTTGTACTTCTTTTTTCGTTTTCTTTTTCCTTAATTTTTTGGGATGATGGGAGGGTTGATAGGAAATAAACACAAAACCAGAAATCTTCAGTCATTCTAAAGATAACCAATCTGGGGCTGGCAGGTGGCATGCTGGTTAAGGGTGTTAGACTCCCACGTGGCCGACCATGGTTCAAGTCCTAGACATGGTGGCTTGTTTTCTCTCTCTCTCTGTCCTTCTATGGTCAAACTGAAGTCAATAAATAAATGTTAAATAAGGTGGTTCTTTAAGGAAAACAAAAAAAAAAGTTAACCAATCTGGAGCTCTTTCTCCCAGAGCCGTCAGCTTACCTAAGCACAAACATCCACTCCCAGGTATCTGCCAACAACTGAAATGTACCATACCATAGGATAAAAAGCAGTTCTCTAGTTCTCAGAATTCATGTTAACCCTGGCTCTGACTACTCCATCGAAGACAGAAAAGTAGTAGTACTCTTAAAGAACAGACTTGCAGGGATCAACAGATAGTGTAATGGTTACACTGCTGCACTCCCACATAGTCTACTATACATAGTCTACAGTGGTTCAAGTCCTGGGCCTGGCAGTTTGAAGCTCACGGGAGGCGCATGTGCACACGTGCCCAAAACCCTAAGAGGAGAATGGAGGAGAAGGGACTGTGCAGTGGCTGCTTTCCCTGAGGGGTGATTTCTTGCTTTCTGTCTCTCTCCAGCGAGTGCATGCACCCTATAGCAAAAATCTCTTAAAACAAAACACAAACAAACAAAAAAACAGAGTTGCCAAGAGCCAGCAGGTAGTGTGGTGGTTAAGATACCCAAATCCCACATGATCCACCAACGTTGCACTCCTGGACCTCCTGACTTAAAAAATCACACAGGGCACGTTTGCCTGTATACCCAAGATCCCAGGACGGTGGAGGAGGACTGTGGTGTGGCCACCCCCTCTGGGGGGGGGGGTCCTCTTACTTTCCCTCTCATTATCTCTCTGGTCAGCACACTCACCCCTAGCAAAACCAAGAAACAAAACAGTGATTTGCCTTTCTGGAACACTGGAGAAAAGTAGTCCTTAAAACAAGTGTTCTGCTAAATTAATCAGTTTGAGTCTTCAGTGAGAGTTGGGCGTTTTGGCCACTTCAATACGAGAAAGGCCCCTAGGCGCTGGTGGTGGCAGCCCCGTGCCAGCAGCCCCAGCAAGCCCCTTCCTAGGCCCATGTGCTGTGGAAGTGCGCCCAGCGATGCCCAATGCCTGTGCACTCAGTTTACCTCCTTCCCTGGAACTATAACCTCCGGAGGAAAGGAGGGAGCTGGAATTACTGTCTTCACCAGGCTGGGGTTCAGAACTGGTCCCGTCCGCCTCTGGGCGGCTGGCACCAATGGCTTTCCTCACAGGGCAGGGCTGATGGCCGTTACTCTGTGGGCGCCAGCTCGGATTCGGTGATCTAAGAGGGCTGAAGACAGTTTCCTGGATCCTAAAGGGGAAGAAAGGCGGACCCCTGGTCGCCTCAGTCCACAGAGCCAGGGGCATCCACGGCGCTCGGCTCGCGACGCCCTGCGGAGTCCAGTGAGCCAGGCCTGGGAACGGCGCCCCGCCGCGCACTCCGCAGCCTTGAATGTTTCAGGGCTGCCCGCGTCAAGTGGCCCTCACCCTGGCCTCTGGGCCCCTGTGATCTGTTCAGTCGGCCAGTCAGGCGACAATGACGGTGAAAGGCCTCGGCCTAGCAACCTCCTCCTGCCCCCTCAGGGGTCGTCACGCCGGTCCTGGCAACACGCTTCGTTCTACTAGGAGCCTTTCCCGCCTGTTCTCTGCGCATGCGCGATTGCTCCTCTCGCGCCCCCTACCGACACAGTGGAAGATTCGCCGCTGCGCGCTCCCCAGCGCCGCTGTCTACACGAGCACGCGCACACCTCCGACCGCGCATGCGCTGCCCGGCTTCGGACCAGGCGGTCCAAACCCCTTTCTTCCCACTCTCCTCCCCGCCCAGGCCTTGCCTTCAGCTGGGTTCCTGAACTGGCGCACTTTGCACTTTGCTTCCACCTCCTTCCCGACCAAGGGAGAGATGGGCCTCAGGTGGGAGGTTCATCTTTCATACATCTCTGCTATCCTTTAAACCCTCGATGCTGGGGCCCCAGATGGCGCAATGGTTATGTCGCTGGACTCCCACGTCGTGAACTGCGGTTCCAGGCTCTGACCTGGCGGCTTAAAACTTATGTCCGGTGTGTGTGCATGGGTGCCCAAAATCTCCAGAAGAGACTGGAAGAGAAAGGATTGTGGCGTGGCCATCCCTCCAGAGGTGATTTCTCACTTTCTCTCTGTCTGTCTCTCCAGCCCTAAGGAAAAAGCTCTCTTAAAAAAAGAAAAGGGGCTGGCAGGTGACGTGGTGGTTAAGGGTGCTGGACTCCCACATGGCCAACCACATTTGGAGTCCTGGACCTGGCGGCTTGCTTTCTCACTTTCCTACTCCTACTCTCTCTTTTTTTCTCTCTCTCTCCCTGGTCAAATTAAAAATAAATGAGTAAAAGCTAAATAAAATAATTCTTGAAAAAAATAAACAAATAAAGCGCTGGGCGCATGTGCATGCATGTCCAAAATCCCAAGGGGAGACTGGAGGAGAAGGGATTGCAACATGGCCATCCTGGAGGTGGGGGGGAATTTCTTGCTTTCTATCTCCTTGTGGCTCTCCAGCAAACACATGCACCCTATAGCAAAATAAATAAATAAATAAAGTAAACCTTTGATGCTTACTTAACCTCCACCAGTAGCCAAACCTTAAATATGAATCCAACAAGGCAGGTGGGACCTCCTCTTAAGAGCTCAGAAATCTACAGGGCTGCAAGCAAAAATAAACTCCAAGACTTACTTAGGTCAGCAGTTCTCAAATGTTTTAGTCTCAGGACTCTTTGTACACTCTTGATTTTTTTTTTTTTTTTGGGAGGTTTTATTTTTTTATTCACTTCAATACGAGAAAGGCCCCTAGGCGCTGGTGGTGGCAGCCCCGTGCCAGCAGCCCCAGCAAGCCCCTTCCTAGGCCCATGTGCTGTGGAAGTGCGCCCAGCGATGCCCAATGCCTGTGCACTCAGTTTACCTCCTTCCCTGGAACTATAACCTCCGGAGGAAAGGAGGGAGCTGGAATTACTGTCTTCACCAGGCTGGGGTTCAGAACTGGTCCCGTCCGCCTCTGGGCGGCTGGCACCAATGGCTTTCCTCACAGGGCAGGGCTGATGGCCGTTACTCTGTGGGCGCCAGCTCGGATTCGGTGATCTAAGAGGGCTGAAGACAGTTTCCTGGATCCTAAAGGGGAAGAAAGGCGGACCCCTGGTCGCCTCAGTCCACAGAGCCAGGGGCATCCACGGCGCTCGGCTCGCGACGCCCTGCGGAGTCCAGTGAGCCAGGCCTGGGAACGGCGCCCCGCCGCGCACTCCGCAGCCTTGAATGTTTCAGGGCTGCCCGCGTCAAGTGGCCCTCACCCTGGCCTCTGGGCCCCTGTGATCTGTTCAGTCGGCCAGTCAGGCGACAATGACGGTGAAAGGCCTCGGCCTAGCAACCTCCTCCTGCCCCCTCAGGGGTCGTCACGCCGGTCCTGGCAACACGCTTCGTTCTACTAGGAGCCTTTCCCGCCTGTTCTCTGCGCATGCGCGATTGCTCCTCTCGCGCCCCCTACCGACACAGTGGAAGATTCGCCGCTGCGCGCTCCCCAGCGCCGCTGTCTACACGAGCACGCGCACACCTCCGACCGCGCATGCGCTGCCCGGCTTCGGACCAGGCGGTCCAAACCCCTTTCTTCCCACTCTCCTCCCCGCCCAGGCCTTGCCTTCAGCTGGGTTCCTGAACTGGCGCACTTTGCACTTTGCTTCCACCTCCTTCCCGACCAAGGGAGAGATGGGCCTCAGGTGGGAGGTTCATCTTTCATACATCTCTGCTATCCTTTAAACCCTCGATGCTGGGGCCCCAGATGGCGCAATGGTTATGTCGCTGGACTCCCACGTCGTGAACTGCGGTTCCAGGCTCTGACCTGGCGGCTTAAAACTTATGTCCGGTGTGTGTGCATGGGTGCCCAAAATCTCCAGAAGAGACTGGAAGAGAAAGGATTGTGGCGTGGCCATCCCTCCAGAGGTGATTTCTCACTTTCTCTCTGTCTGTCTCTCCAGCCCTAAGGAAAAAGCTCTCTTAAAAAAAGAAAAGGGGCTGGCAGGTGACGTGGTGGTTAAGGGTGGCGGACTCCCACATGGTGCTGGACTCCCACATGGCCAACCACATTTGGAGTCCTGGACCTGGCGGCTTGCTTTCTCACTTTCCTACTCCTACTCTCTCTTTTTTTCTCTCTCTCTCCCTGGTCAAATTAAAAATAAATGAGTAAAAGCTAAATAAAATAATTCTTGAAAAAAATAAACAAATAAAGCGCTGGGCGCATGTGCATGCATGTCCAAAATCCCAAGGGGAGACTGGAGGAGAAGGGATTGCAACATGGCCATCCTGGAGGTGGGGGGGAATTTCTTGCTTTCTATCTCCTTGTGGCTCTCCAGCAAACACATGCACCCTATAGCAAAATAAATAAATAAATAAAGTAAACCTTTGATGCTTACTTAACCTCCACCAGTAGCCAAACCTTAAATATGAATCCAACAAGGCAGGTGGGACCTCCTCTTAAGAGCTCAGAAATCTACAGGGCTGCAAGCAAAAATAAACTCCAAGACTTACTTAGGTCAGCAGTTCTCAAATGTTTTAGTCTCAGGACTCTTTGTACACTCTTGATTTTTTTTTTTTTTTTGAGAGGTTTTATTTATTTATTTATTTATTTTTGAAAGGCTACTGGGTTTTATTAGAGGGCTAAGAGCAGAGGCACAGAAGGGTAAGAGAAAAATCCATTTGTTTTACATAAGCCTGAGTTAAAGTTAGATGAAAGCAGATTCTGTTAAGCATATGGTTCCTTTAGACAAACTTTCTCTATATCTTGGGTCTAAGGTTCTTAAAGACTATCAAAAACAGGAAGGATTTAAAATAATTTACTATCCTTTCTGCAGTAAAGTAGGTAAGGTAGTGGACAAGCTAATAAAGACTTGGAAAGTAACACTGTCAAATCCGAAGCCAAATAATCCCTCCTCCATGTTTTCCCCCTGGTTTCTTCAGCATTCTTTCTTCTCCCACTTTCAGAACTACTGGCTCAGTTATCTGACTGAAAATCTGGGACAAACAGTTCATCATCGGGAACTTGTACTTCAGCTAACCAAGCCTCTTGAAGTTGACTGAGATCCTGAAACAACTCTTCAGAATCGTGAGCCAGATCAGTGCCCCAAAAACGTCCTCTTTCTGTCAATCACAGGCTGCCCTCTGCATTCCTCTGATGGAGATTTCCCTGGGACCATGAAAGGGTCTTGCTGATCATAAAACCCATCCACGGTGCTTCCCGTGTCTCTAATATCACTTTGAGAGATTTCAGCATTAAGTAATTTCTGGGAGAGAGAGGGTTCTCCCCAGATAGTACACCTGATTTTGAGGCTTCTGAATCAGCCTGTGAACTCTCAGCAGCTGGGCCTTTCAGATCCCTTGCTGGACGTCCCTGTTTGTGTCCCTCCCAACCCCCCTGCAACCTGGAGAGGTTTTTGCTATACGGCACATGCACTCGCCGAAAAAGACAAAGAGAGACAGAAAGCGAGAAATCACCCCCCAGTGGGGATGGCCATGCCACAATCCCTTCTCTTCCATTCTCTTCTCAGGATCTTGAGCACGCAGGCACATGCGCCGGGCATGAGTTTAAGCCACCAGGTCCAGGACTCAAACCATGTTGACTACATGGGAGTCCTGCAACGTAGCCATTACGCCATCTGCTGGTCCCTCTTGAAAATTATTAAGGGGCAGACGGGCCTAGTGGTTAAGGCAGCTGGATTCCACACGGCTAACTGCAGTTTGAATCCTGGACCTGGGGGCCTGAAAAATAGGTCCACTCTAGTGAGTGCCCAAAATCCCAAAAAGGAGAGAGAACCAGAGAAGAAGGGATTGCAGCGTGACCATTCCCAACTGGGAGTTGCTTTCTCACTTGCCCTTTCTCTCTCTCTCTCTCTCTCTCTCTCTGGTGAGTGCTCAAGCCCACTGGCAAAGTCCTTTTTAAACTTAGGGGCCAACAGGTGTCATGATGGTTAAGGCAGCTGGATCCCACGTGGCCAGCTACGTGGTTTGAGTCCCAGACCCAGAAAACACACCAGGCATGTGTGCATGTATGTCCAAAATCCCAAGAAGAGAACAGGAAAGGGATTACAGTGTGGCCATTTCCCCAAGGGAGAATTTCTCACTTTCTCTCTCTGTTTCTCTTGGGTGAGTGCACATTGCCCTATAACAGACTATTAAATTTTTTTTAATGATTAAAGACTTCAGTAATTTAAATGAGTGGTTTATGTTTATGTGAATTGAATGTTTATGTGAGTTCTAACAATATTAAAACAAATTTCTAAAATAGTTGTCATTTAAAAACCATTAGGTGTCAACATAAATAACATTTTTAGGGGCCAGTAGTTGGCGCAGTACTAATGCAACTGGACCCACTTGGGAAGGCCCTCAGTCCTCACAATAAAAAAGGTTAAAAGTAATATTATGGATAGGGACCAGCAGTTAGTGTAAT